CCCCCCCCCCCCCCCCCCCCAATGTAGCAAGTACTGGTGTATTTTCATGGACAAAAATTCAGAATGTAATGACATCAGATTAATTTTTTCCATAAAAATAGCAGTAGCTGCTAAATGGGGGGTGGGTTTCACATAGTTGCATGTTCTTGGGCTACTTCAACAAATATAGAAAGGATGGTGAATTTAAAAAAAATCTTTTTATGTACAAATCTTTTTACGTGCTAGGTGTGGCCTTTGGTATTTTTAGAGTTGGACACTTATCACACATTTAATGTAATTCACTGTTTCTGGCTATTCAATTCAGAACCTTGCCTGCTTATGTCCTTGGACAACAAGGCTACAACCTATACCCCCATTCAGTATTGCTTGCACTTATTTTAATTAATCATCACTGAACTTTTGACCTAACTATTGTTTAGTATCCTTAATCCCTTAGTATTTTTTTGCTGTTTTTACAAGAGCTAAAGCAGGGGTGGGCAATTATTTGGGCCCATGGACCATATAGAGTTTTGGGGAGTGGTTGCAGGCCAGGTTAGCACCTCCCTGTAAGAGCTCCCCAGATATCTCTATATAGCTGGCACGGGGTGGCGGCAGTGGGGAGAGGCTGCAGGGCAGTGTTGGTGCAGCCTCCAGGCAGTCATAGCCAGAAGGGTCCCAAAAGTGGCAAATGCTCCTGCTGCCCGGTCCTGCTTGGTGCTGGGCACCAGGCAAAGTCACTGCCACTCACCATGGGCAAGGCTACCCTTCTCTGTCTTCCCCCCTTCCCCCCCCCCCAACACAACCATCTTGCACCTACAGCATGCCCCACAGCTTACGCCAGCTCCCAGCTCATGTGCTGGAAGTGGCAATGGGCAGGTGCCAGCATCAGCTGTAGACACAGGCAGCAGGTTCCCCCTGCAGACCAGGATGCCTTCCTGGGTCCACAGGTGATGCTACTGCATCAGCACATCAGCTGCGGTCCCAGGTAGTTGCCCCAATTCCCCAGCAGGAACCTGCAGGCAGTGTCCACAGCTGATACCAGTGTGCACCAAGCGTGCTTCTGATGATGTATGCATGTAATCCTGGAACCATTTTTAGGAACACATTAGTTGAGGGAAGGGGCAGTCAGTGAAATTGGTGCACAGGTGTAAGCTGGGGATGGGGCTGCGGTGTGCCTGCCCACCTGGCACGACAGCAGCTGGAACTGGCTCCCTGCGGGCCAGATCCTAAGGCTTTGACCGCCAATCCATGGGCCAATTAAAATCGGCTGGTGGATCAAATCCAGCCCACGGGCTGTATTTTGCCCACACCTTTGCTAGACAGCAAAGTCCCACCGTTCACGCAGGTTCCTATCCTGTGTACAGGACCTCCATCTGACACAGGAGGTACATGGTCCCACTAGGGGGGAATGCCTTACTGGACCTGGTATTGGCAACGGGGGATGACATGGTAGGAGACCTACAGATAGGTGGTCACCTGGGGGACAGTGATCACCAAATAATAGAATTCACCATAAGATGTCGAGTGGGTAAGGTAACTAGTAGGGTGAAAGTGCTAGACTTTAGGAAAGCTGATTTCAATTAACTCAGGTGTTTAGTTAAGGACGCACTGTAGAGTAGGAGTTTTGAAGAGTTGGGAGCCCAGGAAGGGTGGCTGTGCTTTAAGGAAATGATCCTTCGGGCACAGAGGGAGATGATCCCGATGCGGGGAAAGGGGCCAAGAGACTTCCTTGGCTGACCAGAGAAATCCAGAGCAGTCTACGGGCTAAAAGGGGGGCATATAAAAAGTGGAAACGGGGAGAGATTACTAAAGAGGAGTATACCTCCTCTGCTCACGCTTGTAGGGAGGCAGTTAGACAGGCCAAAGCTACCATGGAGCTGAGGATGGCATCCCAAGTTAAGGATAACAAAAAATTGTTCTTTAGATATATAGGGAGTAAAAGGAAGGCCCAGGGTGGAATAGGATAGGACCTCTACTAAATGGGCAGAAGCAATTGGTGCCGGACAGGGGGGACAAGGCTGAACTCCTCAACGAGTTTTTGCCTCAGTGTTCCTAAGCGAAGGGCAAGACAAGTCTCTCACTGGGATTGTAGAGAGGCAGCAGCAGGGCGCCAGACTACCAGGTGTAGACCCTGAGATGGTGCAGAGGCACTTGGAGGAACTGGATGCGTTTAAGTTGTTGGCTACAAATGTTCATCTCGGGATCCTTAAAATTCTGGTTTATTAGGCGGATTGAAACACTGTAATGAGTTAAATCATAAACCTTGGGACTGGTCCCCACACACACACACATTCACACACATACACAGACACAGTAGCAAGCTACAGAGTCAGGTATACCTATCCTACAAGCGCTGGAGTCTGCCGTCGATGGCCAGTCGAGGCTTCTTTCAGTGTGGTGTTATCCTCCAGAAGGGGTCGCCAGCTGGTCCTTCTGGCTGGACAGGTCTGGTCAAGTTGGAGATCAAGAGGGCGCCACTGAGGGTCACTTTTCACTGCCTTTTATCTGTCCTTGGCAGATTTTGGTGAC